AGTAATGGGCCGAACACTTGACCACATTGTCTGGTGTGCTGGTGATATTTCGTTCTACGTGTGATGCCTGTGGTGCCATCTGCAGTCACTTCAGCACCAACCTTCAGGGGTTCTTCGGTAAGGAGTGCGGCAGGACATCCTATGAACCAGTAATGGACACACTACCTAGGTAGATTGTGCCACTGCTCAGGGGTTCCAGAAAATGAAAGCGCTGTTAAGGTATCCTAAGGAGAGAGCCAGGTGGCAGTTCAAGCAGCTTTTAGAGGGAGACTGTGCAGCTCCTAAACTTCCCTAACCAACTCTGATAGCCTAGGACAAGATCAGTGGAGAAGATACACTTGCTAAATAGTTTAAGAGTATGGCACTGGAATCTATGCCTTGACCTTTGGCATTCAGTCCACAGCAAGCTCAAGATGAAGATGAACGTTATCAAGCAGCACCCTTCAAGAGTTCATCTGTGTGTGTTTTTGAAGCTTTGTGGCTATAGAAATGTAGGAACAGAGCATAGAGACCCTTTTCTCTGGTGTCTGCAGAAAGGTTGCAATAAGGTCCTTTCATTCTTCAGATGACAGGGATGGACAATTTTTTGTTCTGTTCTCTTTAATTGTTCAGTTAGGAATTTTGTTAGAATGTATCTAAATGAGTTTTTTTTCTGGGTACAGTAGGGAAGGATAAAAACCACTGTCATGTTTTATTACTGTGCCCCTGCTGGAGTGATGCACCCTCTATGCTTGTCTTGGTCACAATCATCATAGGTAGAGAAAATTATAGGAAATCAAACATTTTAGGCCTTCACCAGAACAGACGGTGAGAGTGTATTTTCCAATCAGGACACCTATTCTAAAGACAGCTTTGTAAAGCATATTACCCTTCACTTTGGAGAGATTTCCTCTCAGTAGCTGTTGTGACTCTGGCACAGAAAGTCAAGGGAATTTTCCCAACTAGCCACAGACAACAAAAAACCTGACAGGAAATCTAAGCCTAATTTGTCCATAACAAGAAAAAAAAATCTAGAGGGGTATTAAGTGATGAGCTTTCGATTTCCAGTGAAATTGTTGAATTTATAAGGACACAGGTCCTTAGTGTGTAAACAGACAGTGAAAGAGGAAATGGTTATTGCTGAGTACAACTTCTTACTTCTGCATTCATTCAGGACATGTATAAAAATGAAACAATTTTGGGGTATTGATCAGTGTGCAACGCATGGTTTTAAGAGAACTTTCTGTGTGATGTATAACAGAAATGCTATCTTATTATGTTCACCTAAGGTGTAGCAGTTGTATTAGTCTATTAGGAATCTAGCAGATTTGTATGACTGTCATATTCAGTGATAAGGCCATGTTAGAGGAGTAATGTTCTATATCTATATAGAATGTAAGAGAATTGTATGAGGATTATAACCAGACGTTAGGTCATAGTGGATGACTAATGTTCTATATCTGTTTAGGATATAACAGAATTGTATAAGGATCATATCTAGTGGTCAGGTTATAATGATGGAGTAATGTTCTATATGTGTGTGTATAGGATATAACAGATCATATCCAGTGGTCAGGTCATATTGGAGGAGTAATATTCTATATCTATATAGGATATAACAGAATTGTATGGGGATTATATCTATTGGTCAGGTCATGTTGGAGAAGTAATGTTCTATATGTGTATAGGATATAACAGAATCATATTAGGATCATGTGAAGTGGTCACATCATGTTGGAGGAGTAATGTTCTATATGTGTATAGGATATAAAATAATTATATTAGGATCATGTAAAGTGGTCAAGTCATGTTGGAAGCATAATGTTCTATATCTGTATTTGATATAACAGAATTGTAACAGGATTGTATCCAGTGGTCAGGTCATAATGGAGGAGTAATGTTCTATATCTGTATTCAGTACAACAGAATTGTAACAGGATCATATCCAGTGGTCAGGTCATGCTGTCTATGTATGTATGAAATGTAACATAATTATTTTTAGATCATATCTATTGGTCAGGCCATAATGGAGGAGTAATGTTTTATGTCTGTATATAACAGAATTATATTAGGATCATGTACAGTAGTCAGGTCATGTTGGAGAAATAGTGTTTTGGGGAACCATTGTATAATTGGTGCAGGTCAAATCAATATTCCTCTGCCTACATTTGCTATGGATTTGTTGACACTAAGCAGCAAAATTGCCAGTATTTGCAGCCCAGCAAAAGCAAGTATCGAAAATGATTTCCTCAGCAAATAGTAAATAAGAGATATACAGCAAATGTGTGGCGAATATGTGTCAGATCCTCTGATCCAGACGAATCTTAAATATTTCCAGTGGACAGATATACATAATACAAATAAAAGAACTTCATATATCAGGATGTTGAATGCAAATCTGTTAATCCCACTGGATGTAAGTGATGTTTTGTTTGTAAATTGGGCAAAGTCCTGGCCAATACGTGGGAAATACGTAGTTACAAAATAAGTGACTAATCACAATTGCCCCTTAGGCCCCGTTCCCACTGGGCGATATGCAAATCGCGCGTTTGTCGCGCGATTTGCATATTGCGCGACATAGCGAGATTTGCCGCGCGATGTCGCGTTCAAGCTTGCATTGAGCAAGCTTGAATCGCGGCTAAATCCGCTCAAAAAAGGGTCCTGCTGTAGCGACACACGACCCGCGACAGCAGGACCCTTTGCCCCATTGGATTGCATTGGAGCGCGATATCGCGCGGTAATTTCCCGCGATATCGCAGGAATTACCGCGCGATAAATCGCTCAATGTGAACGGGGTCTTAGTGTGTGAGAGTATAATAAACGTATTTCATGGTCCTTTCCAGCGACAGTTGCATAGTGTCTATTGACTTCAAAGACTGTGGTATAATTTTATTGTAATCATGTCTGGTGGTCACATGGAATATTATACATGGTGCACATGGAATAGTAAATCACAACAATGAATGCACATAAGGGCACATAACAACAACAAAAACATTCATGAGCAATAAATTCAAATTTCTGTGGCAGGGAACTTTGTGTCCTTTTAAAAAAAATGTTGTTCTTTTAATTCTTGTATCTGGATATCTTCAGAACACAAGAACAGGAAGTCTTTATACCTGGCAAATCACGGCATGTTTACGACGTAATCATCCAATGGAGAATTTTGAATTCTACTTTTAAGTTTTGTTTTCCTTTGCCTCTCGTGTTTCCTCATTTGCTGAACCACTGTGGTTTCTCTGGGGCTTTTCATTGTTACAGAAATGTATCGCAACACAGGAAAAGGAAGGTGGCAATAATTACTTTGTATTCTAATAATATAGTGTAGTTAGTGACATTGTGAGGTTTACTGACATAATTAGTACAAAAATATACAGAATATAATATAAAAAATCCCCTTTAAGTGGCATATTTATAAAGTAGTATATATGACTTCCGCAAAACATTTACTGTAAATGGTAATTTAGTGTAATACGGTAAATTAATCACTGTCATTTCGAACACGTGCACCTGGGAGATTCACCTGCAGTGAATGTTTTGCTATACATACACAAAGGGATACATTTTTTAAAACAGTCAATCTAACATTAGATTGACTGCTTTAAAAAATGTATCCCTTTATGTATATATAGCCAAACCTTTTTTGAGTTTTCTATAGAGTAAAGCTACACCTTACAATTATCTGCAGATTTTCTGTGGTCAGATGGAAAAGGTGCAACAGATTCCTCCATCTGCACTTAACTGTGTGGATGGAGTAATCTCCACCTGGGCCAATCTGTTGCACTTTTTCCATCTGACCACAGAAAATCTGCAGATAATTGTAAGGTGTATGGGCACCTTAAAGGAGAACTATGAGGTGAGTGCTTTTCACTCACCTCATAGTTCTACCCGACCTGTGACAATGAGACTGTCACAGGTCGGCTTAGTAGATCGGGAGGTGAGCGAGCACATTCCCGGGTTCGCTCACCTCTCGATCCTGTCACGGTTCTCTGCCGTGACATGGGAGGGGCTGGATTCCCCGCTCCGATCTGCCAGCGCTGTCTGGCAGAACGGATGGGGAGGGGGCGGGTACAGCAGGCTCTGCCTCTATATAGGCAGAACCAGCTGTCAGTCACGCAGCTGGGCGGATCCAGACATAATTGTCGGGATCCGCTTCAGCTGCAGCGTCTCAGTATACCGCGAGCAGCAGCTCACGGTATACTGCGGCGTCTCAGTATACCGCGAGCTACTCGCAGTATACTGAGCCTAGGGTGACGGGAGGACGCTAGTTTGTGTCCTCCCATTACCCTAAAGAGAACTATGGGGAAAAGCCTTAACCCCATAGTTATCCTTTAAGAAAGTATTTTAACCCATCTCCTTAATCCTTTCTGTCTGTTTAGCCTTGGGAAGTTCTTTTTCACTTCCTGTTCCAGGAATACAATAGGAAATCTCTCAAAGTTAGGGTAATTTCAGGGGAAAATATAAAAGAACAATTACTGGCAGAAAGAGAAACAATTAGTGGCAGAAATAGAAACCAATCGGCGAGCTGTCAATACCATCAAAAGCTTTCCAATACTATGCAAAAGCCAGAAAGGTTCCGCCCAGTTGTTATTCATTGGCCGGGACCTGCTAGAAGATTCTTTTGTCATAGGGTAGGGATTGGTGGCTTATTGTAGCTAAAAGTGTTAACTTCTGAAAAGATTGAATAATTTTGTGGACAATTGACCCCAATAATTGCAACTGGCAAACACCACTGGTTGCAGACTACGTGTTTGGCAATCTAACATCTTTAACAGACTGACTAATCTCTTCAAAAGAGTTTGCCACAATAGACACGCTATGCCTGCTAAGTTCAAATCAGGGAACTAATAGTTTAATGAACTGCAGGAATAAATGTGTACATATATACTACTTATCAATAATCTTTAACAAAATATGCAGCATAAAAGAATACTGCTATCACCTTGTACAATGTTATTAAAAAATCATATATACAGTGTTGTTTGTGGTGTGTATCTTACTCCTGTTTTTTTTTTCTTTAGGCTACTACACCCCACAATCATCTTAGCATGGTGCCCCATCACAAGATCTATAACCAGAACATCAATGTGCCCCCTTATAGCCATGTGATCATCGGCCTGGCCCCCTACACAATGTATAATGTCCGTGTGGCCTGTCTGAACAGTGAAGATGTATCCCACTGGACTGAATGGGTTGCTATGGAAACCATGGAAGGAGGTACAAAGGAGTGGCCTAGGCTAAAATACCTTGGTTTGTTTTTATAACTTGGCTATACATAACCCTACCATCTATACCAAACATCAGAAGATGTAGGAGTAAAGACAAAAGATTTTCTGAGTGTCCATCCTTGACATTACTGAGAATTTGTATAATTCGTTAATTTTCTTTAAAATACCATCATTTTTCTTTAGGGAAAGCTTACAGATTCCTTCAACTGTTTTATATCCAGTTTAATGCAGGTTTTAAATAGAGTGGGAAAGGGTAAGAACCTAAGCTGCTCCCATAAGAAAATATATATAGGCGGCTCTAGTCATTAAAACTGAACTCTGGGAAAACTCTGAACTATCCCTCGCTCCTGCTGCTGCTTCTCTTTAGCTCTCTGCTGGTTGATGTCATCAAATTCAATGCAGGACCAGCAGCACTGCATAGTAAGTGAGGATAAGGAGGGCCCGTCCACAACCTGTAGCGTTGGAGGGATGGCGGTACCAGGCTGGCAGGACCACGAGGGATAAGGTAAACAAATGTTGCCCTAGACAATAATGAGCATTCATCCCTTGCAGTGCAAGGGGAGCCCCAGTTCTAGGCAAGTTTTAAATGTTCTGTGAATTTCAGCTCTAAACCAAACCTTTGAGTAACATGCAAGACCTGATTATTAGATCAATATATTACTAATACAAGAATGTACCTTTAACCTCCCTGGCGGTATGATTATTCAGGATTTTAGGTACCAAAAGCGGTACATTGTTTTTCAAGCAAATATATGGTCTTGACGCCAAATCGTGCTCTCTTGTATGCTATATATTGAATCCAGCTGAGCCTTCCCTTGTAGGCCATTAGACTTTCGTCTATGGTGATGTCTCTTTCTGGCACATAGGTTTGCTGGAAATTCCTCAAAATCATCTGGGATACCTTCCAAATTTTTTTCAGTTTTGGGGCAGGATGAGTGGCTTCGTCAAATTCCTCATTGTCTGCGAAGTGTAAAAACTTCATTATGAGGGAAAACCTGTACTCCGACATGACTGTGCCAAAGAATGTAGTGGCAAGTAATTTATTGGTTGTCCAATACCACTTCTGCAGAGGTTTCCCCACCACTCCCTGAAGAATTATTAGGCCCAGAAACTTCCAGATGTCATCTCTGGTCACTGGTTCCCACTTTCTATTTCTGGAAAACTTCCCATGCAGGGTTGTGGATTGCTGTTCATTGTACCGGTTTGTCTCGGTAACAATCTCATCAATAACCTCATCGGTCATAAATAATTTTAGGTAGGCCAAGGGGTTATCATGTTCCACATCTACCTTCCTACCAGATGCTCCAGTAAATGGGAATCTTGGGGGCGCTGCGTGATCCGTACCACAATCAATAGGGCACCAAGTTCGCACATCACTTAGCTCAGTCGCAGAATCCGCGCTTTCGTCACTTTCAGTGTCTGACGACGAACTTCCCCACGCATCGCTGTCGCTCAATTCAATAAGTGATTCCACATCACTATCGCTATTTTCTAGCTGCTCAAAAACCGCTTTTGACCTCAGCGGACGCTTGTTTGATGCCATGGACGCTGTCAAGTTTTCCAGGCAAATATAATAGTAAAAGTGCAGGAAGAACACTGGTACTATCTATAGGAACAAAGCTGAGCTGAAATAATTCGTTACAGTATCGAAAAAGTAACGAAATAGCACTGTCTTCTCTATAATACAATGTATTAGAATATGTATGTGGTGTTTCACTTTTGAATTTCGCGGCGGATCCGCCTCCTTACGACGCTGACGTTAGCGTACGCTGGAGACGGATGCCGGCATTGTGCGAAGGAGACGCCGAGATGCCGCGGGGATCGAGGGACAAGGTTAGTGTGATTTCAGGGTATTCCCGAGTGTGGCTCGGGGTTACCGCTCCTAGCTAGGAAATTTAACCCCGAGCCACACTCGGGAATACCGCCAGGGAGGTTAAGGAAAAGAGTTCCAACATTTATGTACCCACCCTTCGTGTTTCGACCATAAAGCCCAAGTGAGGCGGACACCACTCTCCTTCAGTGAGATCATGAATCTCACAAGAAGATGCTCTTAGACTGGACTAGATCATCTTCTTCCAGGATCTTAGCTGCTCATAATTACTAAAGAATAAGCAATCATCATCACTCCGTGCAGTGCAGAAGACGAGGGTTAGGTTAAGTATTGTCACTTTTATTTCTGACGAGTATATTTTTGACCTGGTGATTTTTAAGTGGACCTTGCATTTTACTCCCAGATCCCTGTTAGTACATAATGTACTTCCCTGTTTCTCACATGCCTAAAAGGTTTTTGTTTTGGGTACAGCTCATTTTCAAACCTAAAGGCATTTACATGGACAAGACTTTGAAACCAGGTCCTGGACCGAGGGTATCTGTCAATAATGTTTAAATTTGTGCTTTTTTTTAAATGGTTTCACAGCATCTTTTAAAATCAGCAACCTTACCAGATGTCTTAATAAATGAACCAGCTTGTCTGTGCACCACGTCAACATTCTTTCCAAGTATCTCTGTGCCATATCTCTTTTTTCCTTTTTCTCTCTGTCTCTGTTTCAAGCATCATTATATTCTGTTTTCTCTGTGTCTGTGTTTCTCCTGGCAGAGGAAGGAAAGCAACTGAATCTTTCGGAGGGGCTTCTATTCAGCTTGGGCCCCTAGGTTAATTAGTATACAAGACACAAGCATTTTTGTCTGTGTCAGCACCCTTGCCACAATACCGGTAGTGGTGGGCCCAGCGTCCCTCCACTTCTCCTTCTGATATTTCCATTTATTTCACTTCAGCTTTTTTTTTCACCACTTGTCTTTGTTCTGAGTCTCTTTGCCTTTTCACAACTCCAGAATTTTACTTGGAGCTGTCATTGCGTGACCAGAAAGCAAAATGGAAATTAGGAATTATTATGATACACGATGCAGGGGATTCCTTAAAAAGGACTCAGGGAGTTGAAGAGAGTTTAAAACACCAGTAAAGTTTGGCTGGAGTCCTCGAGCAAGGCAGGACTCCCCACCTGTTGTGCTTTAGTATATTTTGCTGTGCAATAGGGACATGAGCTAAGTTTAGCAGCCCACCTAATTACAATATATGTCACTTCATACTTGGCAGATTTAATAAGTGGTTTTCGCTTTCATGGTGATGCTTATAAAATCCAAGGCATGGTTTATTTGATGAGGCAGTGCAAAGGGTAATGCTAAATGTGTAAAGTACACAAACTCATAACAACCAATCAGATTTTAAAAAGTCACATCAGGAAAAACTAAATTCTGATCAGTTGCTGTGTACTTTGCATTTGTTGAATAAGACTAAAATAAATTGCAGGAAAGATGCCAGTGAGATTCCAGATGACATCTTGTAGCCCAGGTTTAAAAAAAATGTAATAACATGATTGCTGGCTGCAAACACTTTGATTTGGCCCCCAGACATCAATAACACATGCATGATCTAACTTTTTATTTCCCCGGAGAGGATCCGGCTTAGTACACAGAGAATTTGCAGCAAGTTGGGAAGACCCTGTAAGTGAAAAGGAGCACTTCCAACATTGTTATGTTGAGGGCTGCTAGGGGTTGCTGTGCTCTGCATGCCATCAATGCTCTGTGCTTGAGTAGATAGAATGGAGGACATTTGGGGGATCTCCCAATCTGCCTGTAAATCTAACTAATGTGATCTGTGCATGATGTGAACTGCACCTTTAACTGAGCAGCTAATTACCCGGAAAAGGCCCCAATAATGTTGCAGAGTAGACTATGACCATATTTTCCAGTTTGTGACATACCATAACCTTACAGTGATAGGCAAATCCATTATATTATAGCATTCATCATTACCCTTTATTGGATTCTTATGAATAAGCACATGTTCTTTGTTAACATCCCACATTCATAAGATACTTTTTTACCTTCCTGTAGTTCCATCTGGTCCACCTGAAAACATCACAGCAACAAAGAATGACACTGTTACCCTTGTGATGTGGAGGGAGCCAAGACCACCACTGAATGGTGTATTAAAAGGGTACAAGCTGGCATACCAAACCAAAGACCAACCAGAGGTAGGCACCGAGTATTGGTACTGCGTTATCTGTGTATATCTAAGATATGCTATGAAACCTGGCTGTGTGTTTTTTTCTAACCTGCTTATAATGTTTGATGTTTAGGTTGTGATGGATGCTGGGCTAAATAATGAGGTGACCTTGGAGATTGTGTATCCGGTGGACAATCTGACAGTGAGGGTTTCTGCTTATACATTTGCTGGTGATGGCCCTTGGAGTGATCCTGTTGTTGCTTCTTTCAAAAATTATGGTAAATATTATCCTTTTAAGATTGATTGTTCTACATGTGTTTTCTGCTTCAGAGTCCTATGTATCATTTTGTTTTTCTTGCAGATTCAATTTCTCCTCAAGGTGAGGAACAGAGGAAGCTTGGAGTCTGTGTCTGTGTGGGCTTTATGTAACATCTACCTTTGTCTCTGTGTCTTGCTGTAGAGGGTAGGATGGACTCATAGTTACCTTCTATCTGTATCACCCTGCGGTGAGAAGGACAAGCTTCATGTCTCATAGCGTCCCCCTGTTTGTGTCACCCTGTCATGAGTGGCACAGGATCCATGTCTAATGGGCTTCTTCTGTGTGTCAACCTGCAATTGGAGAGACAGACTCCATGTCTTATAGCTCCCTTCCGTCCATCTGTGTCATCCTACAGTGGGTCTGTGTCACCCTTGAGTGGCAGGGACAGTCTACATCTCTCAAAGCTTTCTTTGTCTATGTCACCCTGCAGTGGAAGGGACATTCTTCATCTCTCATAGCTTTCTTTTATCTATCACCCTGCAATGGAAGAGACAGACCCTATGTCCCATAACTTCATAAAACATTTATCTTTTCTCACAGCGGTCAGAGATATGTCAGCCTCCCTTTTCTCCTGGCACTGGTGGTACGTTGTTCTGGTAGTTGTTGTGGCAATATTTGGTGCCATCATGCTTGCTATCTTCCTCGCTCGTATTCGAAGGAAGGAAACACGATATGGGTAAGTGTTAATGCACTGGGGGTATACATTCGTGAAGGAACTATGACAGAGATATATTCTTGATGCTGTCCCTGTGTATCTACAGAGAGGCCTTTGAACCAACTGTGGAACAAGGTGAACTTGTGGTCCGATACCGAGTGAAAAAATCATATAGCCGAAGAACCACAGAAGCTACTTGTAAGTCATACATTTTAGCCTAAAAAGTGACTTTAAAATCATCCCAGACTGCAACAAGAAATGTTCTTGTTAATATACTTTTTAAGTTTTTATACATAAGCACCTTTGTGTACATTAGCATTGTTGGCGGTATGTAGGCACGGCAAAGGTTGGGATGGTGACATACCACTTACAAAAAAGTTTGGAGAAGCCTGACATACCACGTTATAGCTTCCTTGCTTCTCTCTTCTTGTAAAAATCTTCTGCCCTTCAATTCAGTATGTTACACAGCTGTGAAATACCTAACAATGTCAGCAATGAGTGTGATGTCCCCTGAGAAATATTTTTTTGATACATTATTTGAATTTTTTCCTCCATTTCTTTCCATGATGGAGAGTTAGCATTCTCTCGTCTCAGCTAGGGTCAATGGCACATAGATGGCAGCAAAACAGCATCCCACGTATATTAACTTGGAAATAACAAACTATTTCCATAACATGACTAAGCAGTAGTTAAAAACAAGACGTCAAATACTTTTTTTTAATAACAATGCAATATAATACCAACTGGAATATCAGTCTAAAGGAAAATAAAAGAGGGAAAGATGTCATCAAGCTAAACGCCTGCCTGAGAAGCCAATAAACTTATGGATGCTGCTATTGTCTCACTCCCAGGCTGCATACAAGCTTCAGCTAAACTAAAGTACTCTATCACAGACATCTGTGTAAGCACCTCGTTAAGTTACTTAACAGTGCGTTTAAGGATATATTGATATTTTTTATATTACCCTCAACTAGTTAGTTACCTTTTAAAACAAGTAATTATTTCTATGGAACAGGAATTCTTATAGTCGTTCCACTTGATTTTCAGGTGACACGTTGAGGAGAAAGTCTATCAAAAAACAAAGAGCTGCATTTGTCAGTTGGCAAATAAAGTCCATCTTATTGGACAGGGAGTTAGTGGGTGGGGCTTTGCCCAGAAATTAGGGAAGTTGAGTGCTTTGCCCATGCGGGGTACAAAAACAGGTTTTCTTTGATATGGCCCTTGCATTAGCTTATAATGCCTTTCCCTACTCTACCACCCCTTCCTGGGCACCAGGTGGAAAAAAAACCCCATAGCACTGTGTATGGGGGAGTATGCGACTCAATTTCCTTTCTGCTATAGTGCTGGTGCTTTTCAAATGGCCACTTGGGCGTTAACACTATCTGTGTTTCAACCGCTCCTTTATGTTCTGTTATATAAGAAATAGCCTATTCAGCTGCCTGATCTCCCTAAATTGGATCTATGGATTGGGGGGAATGAAATGGTGATAGAGAGTAAGTTAATAATAAAAAAAATGGGGTAAGAGAAAATGGGGTTCAATTTGGGGGTTACAATTTCTCCCCAACCACTCTGACCACCACCTTCTGATAGGTTAATTTTATCTTTGGTTCACATTCGCTATCAATAGCAGTAACCTGATGGCAAGACCTGATCCAGTAGTGCAAGGCTGAAAATGTATGGACGACGTACGTCCTTGTTAATTGCTGAGTCTCCGATTACTTCTGTGTTGGCATTTAGCCTAAATACCTTCAAGGATGAAGTCAGCTAGTTGCAGATTAGACTCCAAAAAATCACTAAAACATTGAGAACATTTTGTTTATTTGTAACAAAATGAATTGCAAAACTGAGCTAAATGCTGTATTATATAACATATGAATATTTTATGATTGCTGACTCTTGGTCATTGCCAGATGTCAGGATAGGCCCATGAGTGTATTTGACGAAGGACTGAATTATGAGAAAGGTAACTCTGGGATAGGTGGGGTGCCCAGTAGACCAGATTCACGGACAAAAGCTTTGGAGGAGTCGGCAGGGAATTTGTCTGCACTCAGGCCATTTGGCTGAACATCAAGAAATTCTTGCTCATGTTTTGTGTTTAATAGAAATAGGACTGAAACAGCTCCATAGTTACTGAGCAACCCTCCTCCCAGCAATGGTCACCCTGTTACTCCAGTGAACATCTGTTGTGGCTTCTTAAAGGCAGAAAGCTGGTTTTCTAGGAATTAAATGCTGTAAACCAAGAAGCAATTGGGGTTTATTGTGCATAAACAGAAATCAGTTTTGCTGTAGTCATTTTCCAGATGTTTCCGAGAACTACTCCAATCAGAGGTGTGCAATGAAGGGTTTAGCTAGCCTCATATGTACTCTAATGCTAAAGTCAGACTGCTATTTTAACATCACCTTATTAAAGGGCAATGCCATCCAAAATTAAATGGATCTGTGTACACTGTAAATTGTTGTAGTCAGTGCTATATAAATAAGAGATATAAATATTTCAGTTTTGGGTGGGACCTTAGGAGTTGACTTTCCCCTTGGATCCCTAAAGTTCCCAGAGACACTGGTGGTGATATTCCTCTGTTTGTCTTCCTGGCCCTATTTCTCTCACCAATGTATGGTAGCAGAGATCCTGTTTCTTGGTTGGAGGATATTGCTGTCCTAACCTGATAAAATGGAGTCTGAACTTTCATGGTCTTTCTGTGAAAGCTGAAGATCAGACTAACCTCTTGCAGTAAGCATGTGCCTGATAGAGATTTTGAGAGAGGTTTTTTGGACTTTACTGTGCTATAGTAAGTAGACATGTGCGATTTGTTTCGGAAAAATTTGTTTTTTGGCCGAATTTTCGTTATTCACAGATTCGGATGTATCCGAATTTCTGAATAACTTAACTGACGAAAGAAAACAAATCCGAATTTCCGAAAACGAAATTTCGGACAAAATTAGTTAGCGGTAGTCTGAACGAATTTTGGTTTGTGGATGAATTTTCATTGCAGCAAAGTGACATTAAAAAAAACGATGTTTTCTAAATGTCACTTTGATGCAACGAAAAGAAGGAAACGAAATGACAAGGATACGAAAACGAAAATTCATACAGACCGCTAACGAATTTCGTCCAAATCACGAAAACGAATTGACTTTCGGACCCGAATCCCAAAAAACAAAATAACGCAAAATCTGAATCAAAACTAAACAAAACAATTTTTTGCTGGTGCACATGTCTAATAGTAAGTATAGAAGGTCTGGAAAACCTGTTAGATGACAGAATAAATTGTTAAGTGTAATTTGCACTATTTTTATATAAGATTCAGAAAACTCAAGCCTGGTGTCTTTTGAAAAGTTGCTAAAGTGGGTCATGACTATAAGGTCATAGTCCAGGCCAGACCCAGATAAGAAAGTATTGCACCCCTATACCACACTTTATTTTTAATATATTTTCATTTTTGAAAATGTTCCTTTATTAAAAAACTCATCTTTTATCTCCTGCTGAAGTATCTGCTGTCAAGTAATAATTACTAGACATTAACTACTTGTTTAACCTTCAGTGAACCGGCTTGGGATAAGTGATGACCTGAAAGAGAAGCTCCGGGATGTTATGGTGGACCGACACAAACTCACTCTTGGAAAGACGCTTGGAGAAGGTTGGTAAAGCTAATAATAAAAAAGTTCTCATTGCATATTTTTCCTATAGTCGTAAAGCAGCAAGAAATGTCTTGAGATTTTCAAAAGCACTTACACTCAGAATTCAAACTTAAAATTCCCCAAAACCTTTTGGAGAGACCATTTTTTGTACCTGGTTTTATTAAATAAAGAAGTTTGCATCAATTTTTAAAATGCCATCAATCTGGTGTTTGCAGCCTATTCATATTATTGCGGGCAGAAGTGGACTGGCCTGGAGCGGTAACATTATTCACGTTGCCATTGCATTGTTCAAGTGACCAGCCACAGCAGAGTTTAATTCTAACAAATTAGCAAATTAACATAAGATTGGTTCTAACTAAACTCTTAAGGGTTCATTTATAAAAGGTTCGTGGGGCATATGGCTGGGCAGATGTAGTTTGCACGGCACTAGTGCCCCTAGATTGTGCTGACGAGTATAGAAAATGTAGGGGAGCTAGTGCTGTGCAAATGGCTATATGCCAGGCACAACTTTTATAAATAAACCCCTTAAAGTATAATATAAGTAGAAGAGAAATGTTTAAAAAAACAACTTCTAATTCTGGATTTGCCTGTGTGCAAAATGGGGCAAATTTGGAGCTTATATCTCTTGTTTCCTAACTAGAGCAATTCGATAGTAGTCAATGTAGGGGACTTGTGAGAGGGCAAGCATCAACGTGAATCTTTAGATAATAAATAAACCTTGGGGTTTTGTTTTTGGATTTGGAGGTCATCTATAATGAGAAAGTAAAGAAGTGACACCGGCACTCCAAACAGTGAATAATGTGTCTTTTGCAACGTTTCAGGGTCATGCAGGATCCCCTTCTTCAGGCAATACATGTTTGGGATCCTGTGTGACCCCAAACTGTTGCATTTATGTGATCTGCTTCATTTTATGTCAATAAAAGACACACTATTCACTATTCAGAGTGCCGGTGCCCCATCTTTACTTTGTGATTGTCACGACGCCATCCGTTGGTCACCGCAGCACCCACCAGTTGTTTTTGGACTAAGCGAGTGCAAAGGGTTTATGGACTACATCTATAATGAAAAAAACACTCTTCTATTTACTAGTCAGCAAAATGATTGTACAAGTAGTTACAGGCGATAGATTTCTATCACTGAATGCTTGTGAAAATGAAGTTGAACCAATTTATCTTCATCTTAAACTGCATGTGAGATCTCTACACTTGTGTTAGAATGTAACCCAAACGTCAAATCATGGAAGCTTCCATATAAGGCTTCTGATATAGGTGGTTTGTGACAGATTGCCTTTGGAGGGGTAATGCTGTGCTTTTAACAGCAGCCATATATACAGCATGCATGATTAATAGCTAAAGTCTGCCTTTCTGGGTAAAGACTAACTCTTTATTAAAGAAAAGCTATGAGTGTGGGTTATTTCATTTTTCTGTTTATGTTTTTAAAGGGTAATTTCACTTTCCAAGGTGAAGGTGCAGGATTTTTTTTCTCAGCAAAGCAATGATTGAAAGAGAACTATGGGGTAAAACTAACTAACGTCCTCCCGTGACCCAAAGCTCAGTATATAGCGAGCTACAGCTCACTATATACTGAGAGTGCCGCAGCCAGGACGAATCCCGACAATACTGTCGGGATCCATCCAGCTATCTGATTGAAAGCGGGCTCTGCTCATCTAGAGGCAGAGCCAGCTGTGCATGCCCCCTCACTCGTCCGTTCCGCCAGTCAGCGATCAAGGATCAGAGAGGGGAGGGGGGAATCCCTGAGGGGAGTGATGACTGATGGTGACAGCTCTCTGCAGGGAGATGATTGGGAAGTGAGCAAGCGACAGTATGTGTTCGCTCACTTCCCGATCAATAGAGCCGACGTATGACAGTTTCATTGTCACACGTCGGCTCTAACTATGGGGATGAGTGGAAATCACTCACCTCACAGTTCTCCTTTAACTTTGTAAATATATGAAAAGGGAGCCTAAAGCTCCACCTACTGTCTGGAAGCCATACATATTAAACACTCACGTTTCATGTTTAGCAATATTTCATATTTATCTTACTGAGAAAAGTAAACATTAACTTTTTATAGTCCTAAGCATAGCAAACAAAGAAATATTTACAGAACAATATACCTTCTCTTTAACATTCTTTATAATCTTTAGTGCAACTTGCCCAATTAAAGAGGAAGAGCTGCTTGGACTCCCCTCTATAGAGGCTGGCCTCCAGCATTTCAGACTTCCTCTAGGAATAGACATTGGGATTGCATTTAATGAGATGAGTCCCTCCTGTCTGTTGCAGTGTGTTTTCCTATGTGTGGGAACAGTCACACAGTAACACGAGCCTCACAAGCTCCATTTCCGTTCTCTGTCTTATCCTACACTGTCTGGAAAAGCAATCGGAAAACAGCCCTTGTTCTAATGGCTTCCTCTGTCTCCCTCCTGGGAACATGGACTCTAGGCAGGCTTGCCCCTGTTATCCCTGCAGGTCCGCTTGTTAACCCAGTGGCTGCTGACTTTTTATTTATCCCAAGGAAGGAATGAAGGAAGGAAGGGAAACTACTGTAACTATGTTATGTGTTGCAGTCTCAGATAACATGAATCTGCACCATATGTATTAGACATCAGCAATGTTTAATGCTTGTAAAGAGTATGAGCCCCACAGAGGCCAATTTATGGCAATATGATCCGAGAGAATCAAATAAAAATGTATTTGGTAGGGAATTGTGTCTTTTGTATTACATATAACATATACAGTATATGGAAATGTGATTGGTTTAAAGTACCCCAGCAATAAAAATATATTATATTGCAGCTTACCAGTCCTATTAGTTTTCTTTGTTAAAGAACAACTCCAGAATTTTTTTAAATTAACTCTTGCAATGGGTCTACCCCCAAACACTGCAAGGGTTAAGTGCTCATTTTATCTAGGGGCAACAATAAAGAAGAAATATCTGATCCTCGGATTCCTAGATCAGTCACCGCAGCCTCTTCTCCCCCGTGCCCCAGCGGTCTAAGGCCTCGTAACGCCATCAATCTGGCTATAGTATGTCCATCAGAGTCCTCACATGTAATGGACTGCATTGAGGACTTCGATGGACATACCATAGTCAGACAGAGAGGTAGAGACGTGAGTGGTCATTGGCGCAGGATCAAGAGTTGGGTGAGTATATCTTCTTTATTTTCACTTGTAGACCAAAATGAGCATTTTAAAAAAATCTGGAGTTGTTCTTTAAGACTAAGAACATTTTCTGCTACTACACAAAATGTCTGTTGATTCTGTCAAGAAATCTGGTGCCTTTGTAACTTCATGTGCACTTGTAGCGCCCCGTGGCAACTCGGTGGTTTAGCAAGTTCCTAATGTCGGGGCGCACAGTACAGTTTTGCTGGGGTGGTGGACCCAGACTCCAGCTCCACCCACATACCTCCCAACTGTCCCTCATTTGGAGGGACTGTCCCTCTTTTAGAACTAAATCCCTCTGTTCCTCTTTCCTCCTCAGTTGTCTCTCTTTTTGGTCTGATGTATAGATATCTATGAAAAGTGTTATTATGCACGAAAGCTTGAATCTTATCTCTTAGTTATCTTGTTACTATTTTGAAAAGCCAGTATGAAGAAAAAGTAATGGTGAAAAAAAGCAATTCTGTGTATAACCAATTCTTTTTGCAATCTAAATTCTTAATGATTCGTATAACTGTGGGTGTGGCCGGGGGGGTGCTTCCATTGCCCAAATAGATTGTGATTAAAGTTGTCCCTCTTTCTCGTCTCAGAATGTTGGGAGGTATGTCCAGCTCTCTAGTTCCCTACTACTCAGGTTCCATAATTCCTTGACTCACACTACGTTTAACAGGCCTCTTCTTCCAGGTTTGGTCTATAGGGGATCTCATTATTCACCTGAGGCCCATAGGAAGGGTGGCCTAGATGGCGTGTATGTGCACCAAGGGGGAACCTTCCCAGCCACTGCCTCTGATGGACCTTCCGTTATTAAATCACCAAGTACTCCAACTCGATCCAGCTGATAATATCAAACTCCAGATCTAGGCTGTGCCCTTCTGCCTCAAAGAAACCATACACATTTTAGTGAGACAAATGTTTTTGAAAAGGGTCAATCATAACTTTGCAGGAATGATTTGTACTTTGGGGTCCATTACCTTAAACATAACTTTGTTTTTATTTCTCAGGAGAGTTTGGTTCAGTCATGGAGGGTCAGCTAAACCAAGACGATTACATCCTCAAGGTGGCCGTGAAGACTATGAAGAGTAAGTGGTTGTGGCTTTCTGAGGCACCCTGCACTGGGAGGGACAGATCCAGAGATTTTGTAAAAGGTCACAAACTAGAGTTTGTAATTAACGGGATGCCTTGGTGATCTTGAAAGTGATTTCTTAATCCCAACTTCTCTTAGCAAGTAGATCTCCTCTGACAAGGAGAGTAAGCACTAAATGGCATCCTAAAGCTGAACTGTGGGATAATCAAATATCGTCTAAATACAAGAGACGTGTGTATTTTCATTTAAATTTTGGTGTGATTTCTGTATTTCTCCCATATCTGTACAGTATTCCAGTGTGAAACTTTTCCCTGTAATAAAGACCAGTCACTGCTGCTCACTGTCCTTGTTCAGGGTGACTGGTCTTGTATCCAGCCTCTCCTGGGGCCTGTAGTAGGTGGACCTGCCAGGCCCCTCCTACAGATCCGCTCTCTGCGCAGGCTATGTACAGCACAGTGATTATGTCACCACTATGTTTACAAGGTAATAATTGTGTTTGAACAGGCATTTTATGCACACAAAATAGATTTATGCCTTTTGTGGCTGTTGAGGAATATATTTAAATGAAAGTTTTTGTGCCTGGAGTTCACCTTCAAGCCATTATTAACAGAAGCCTAATGGGTAGCAAATTGCTGACCTTCAAACAGTCATTTGGCAAAAGATTACTAGCCTATTAAGCCCACTATAACACGTCATGAATTAGCTCTGATTGCGGGTATATGTCTTATTGTTCCCTTTCTCTGTATCAAACTAAATTGATAAAAGTAACAAAGGCATTCATATTTAAAGTGGACTTTTTGTTTTTACCTTCCAGTTGCTATCTGCACCCGCACCGAAATGGAGGACTTTTTGAGTGAAGCTGTCTGTATGAAAGAATTTGATCACGCCAACGTCATGCGTCTCATTGGTAAGTGGTACGACCTTGATCCATAACCCACTTTGACATCCATAGGAGATGTCAGCTAATTTATTATGTGGGAGATGTATTATGATATGATGTAGCAGTAGCTCGGGTGGCCTTTTTCAAAGGACCTGGCAACCCATCAGAATTGCTCTTCCTGTATAGGAGCACATAGGACAATGGATGTGCCTGACTGTGCTCATCTCATTAAATATATAATGACTTCTCAGACAATGAGGATCAATTAATGTTTTGTGAGCATCACTGGCGTATGATTTCATAAACGATACCTAAAAACTTTTTTAGCTATGCTTGCAGACAGTCTGGAAGCCAATGTAGTTTACATGTCCTGGAAATCTTGACTCTTCTTTAGGGCCCATTCACACGATTGTGCTGCAATAACGTGCATGTTACATCCCTTCCCATAAATACAACACTCAACACCAATTGAAGCTTTACTGGCCGTAGCAGCCTTTTATTAACAATCTTATAAATAACAGAAATACCACAAACATTTTGAATGGGGCCCAAGTTCCATGTAGGCATTTTACTTAATATTCCGTATTTCCATATTCGTAAGATATTCGTAAGATAGACCTCCAGAGACAATTGCATCATTAATGGCAGATACAACCACTCAACCACTATTACACTGGCATTCAAATCTACCCAATAAGGGGCACCGTACTTAAAACAGGCCCTTGGCGACGTTACATTTTGAACACAAGGACCGCCTTCAAAGACCTTGAAAAACCTGCCAGCATCTATGACTACCCTCATAAAATCCCCATTAGAAAACATCATCCAAACAAAATTGAAATGAGAGACAGATGATTTGGAAGTTCCCCTGATGACCGACTCTCTACCAACCAAATGATGTTTGGTCCCACCTTCCATTTTCATTTCACTCCGGAAGCTCCTCCTGTTCCTCTCCACCCTACAAATCATGAAAGTACAACTTCACTGCTTCCTTATACAAAGCTCTAACCCTTTACTATCTTTATCACTTTAAACCATGTAGGACCTACGCCTCATGCCTCCAGCCTATTAGCTCCTAACTTTTTTTTTTATAAATTCTGTTTTTATTCCAAGAAATTTTTTTCAAAAAATACAAACAAAGGTACATAAAACATAACATTGTCAAACTGTATGTAGTTACATAATCAAAGCATTGTACGTTGTCACAACACAATTTAACCACAGGAGTGCCCCTAACTTCATCCTGTCCTATATAAAAAGCGTGACATCTCTAGTGTGAGACCATGGCCGTCTCCATGGTGCGGCCAGGTATGGTGGGTCCTGTATGGTACTATGCAGGTATAGAGCCCTGTAATTAACCCACATCCTGATATGACAGGTATGATGTCAGGAGCCTATAGGTATGAAGAAGGAAAAGGAGGGAGGTAGGGAAGGAAACAAGATTGGGAAAAGAGCGGGTAGGGAGGGCGGCTTCTCTCTCAGGCCGTAAATCCTAACTGTTCATTAACAGCTGGTATTCCGTAGAGTCGAGGAATTCAATCCAATAGAACCATGTGGAGCAGAATCTAGACACCGTGTCCTTTATGGAGCTGGTGAGATCTTCCATATGTTTAATATCATTAACTCGCTGGAGCCACTGTCGTATGGTGGGCGGCGACGACTGTTTCCATAAAAGAGGTATACAGGCCCTCGCCGCGTTCACCAGGTAGCTCCTAACTTTTTGAATAGCGCTCCAACAATCTCTGAATTTCCTGATCTTACTGATGTGAGATTTTTACTGACAAGTATCCTCTGCTAGTGATTTTGTTTTATTATTATTTTATTTGTTTTATTATTATATACTCCATTTGAACAGTGTACTTCCACATTTGCAGTCAAATTGGAGAAAACCCCAGTATATGTTTGTCGTGTGTTCCCATTCACATAGCATAATGAAAAAACATTTTTAAAATAATTTTTCTACCTTTCACCTTAGCTAATTTCAGGTTTTTCTGAGTACCTTCACAGTGATCTGTCTTTATAGAAAGACTTATGACTGAAATTTGAGGATTGTTTCTCTCATTGACTTCATTAACATTTCAATGCAGAAGCCAGGGTTCTAATCACTGAAAGGAGAACTATGAGGTGAGTGATTTTCACTCATCCTCATAGTTAGAGCCGACGTGTGATGTCTGCTCTATTGTTTGGGAAGTGAGTGAACACATACTGCGCTCACTCACTTCCCGATCATCTCCCTGCAGAAAGCGGTGACTGTCAGTCACTGCCCCCCGCAGGGATTTCCCCCCCTCCCCGATCCTCCAGCGCTGACAGTATTGTCGGGATCCATCCCGGCTGCGGCACTCTCAGTATTAGATTGTAAGCCCTCAGGGGCAGGGCCCTACTTACCTATCTTGTCTTGAATTGTAGTGTAACTGTAACGTCTTCCTTACATTGTAAAGCGCTGCGAAAACTGTTGGCGCTATATAAATCCTGTATAATAATAATAATATAGCTCGCTATAGCCCGCAATATACTGAGCTTTGGGTCACGGAAGGAGGTTAGTATATGTCCTCCCGTGACCTTATGCTATGTGAATATAAATCTAAGATTGGTGTTATCCCAATGCAGCTACGAAAGTGGAAATACACTTTAGGCTCGGGTGGTCATTGCATTCGGAGTTGTATTTAGTTGTATCTAGAGTGCTTACCTATCTGGACATTATTATAATGATGAATATGACACAACATATCAAAGCCACATGACCTGTATGTAAGAAAAATGTGTCTGCCAGACAGGAATCTTTAATGTGCGCCAAAACAGATCACAAATCTCACCGACTTCTGGCAGAGCTAATTAATCATATTTAGGAGTCTTCTGTACGACTTGTAAATTTCACAGACGATGACAGAGAGTGACTTCACTTATCTGAGTGTTCCCTGAGATTAGTGGCCGGGGACACTGTGTACTGTTTGTATTGCTCTCATGTCAGCAGAAAGTGGAAAACACAGAAAATTGAATAATTTTTTTGCCATGATCCCGATCTGGCTGGAATTCTGCATTGCGGCTTCACCTGGGAGGACTGCTCTGCAACCTACCTTACTTGCATAGAAAGCAATGGGGGAATTAGTTGAACCTGGAGCAGTAACCAATCAGCTTCTCTCTCCAGTGTGTTCAGTTAAGCTTTGCAAATAAAACAGAGAAGCTGATTGGTTGCCATGGACAACTGCTCCAGATTCTGCTTGCTCTGGATTTTATGTAGTCCCCGCAATAATTTTCTATACGACCTCATGGTGAACCTGAGCAGATTAGCGCACATGGTGTGAAGGAGTCATTAACGAGCTGGCTTCCTGTAAATTACTTTGCAGAAACCACCGCACCGCAGATATCACTACTTCTGGGAACTGCTAGGGCCCATTCTGAACATATTGCTTCATCATGCAATACGGCCCCACCTAAGCGAGGTTGATATCCCTGATGAACTGTTTACCAGATTTTATATCACCCACAAAAATGGCTCCCAGCCTCAAAAGTATGTTTGCAGCACGCAAATCGCCTTCCCACGGCCATGCTGCTTGTAGGTTGTCAGCCCAATTTAAAAACATGTTCGAATAATAAAAACAAATCTGTTGTCTGGTTAGAGTGACTAAAACTGATTGGAAATTATTATGTATGGGGAAGAGCGGTGAGATTGTGAAACATTCAGACCCACAAAATGCAGAAAGCGCTGATTTGTGATCCCATAATTATGGGACACTTGGTTGGAGGGGAGATAAGAACCTGGAAAATTGTGTCCTTTGCTGCCATCTAGTGGTGGAAATTGTGTACTGCGCCTGCCGATCTAATCCAACATCTGCCAGTGGCTATAGCCCAGTCCACCCTCCTTCTCAATGCAATCTATCATTTCCCAGAGCAGATCCCTAGATTCTACTGAAATATTTTTCTCTTGGTTAAAACCATCTGATTTTGGGTGGGTCTGCATTACCACACTGTTTTTCAGTCTGGATGTGTTTTTATTACAACATCAATTTACGCAGCAAATGTACCCGTCCCAGAACCAAGAGATTAGTAATAAGGTGATGAATATGTTGTAAAACAGCTGCGCTATATCATGTAAAAAAATGTTACAAAATTGTTTCACAGTAAATGTTTTTTTTTTTATATTAAACATTGCATCTTACTCAATGAGCTCTGGGATGAGCAAACATTGTCTAAATGCAAGAGTGCAATGAGCTCTTGGTGAGCTTTGTGTATTTCTTCCAGATCTGTGCAGGTAATCCACTGTGAAACTTTGCCTGTAATGAAGACCGGTCAACGCTGCTCTCTTTCCTTGTACAGGGTGACTGGTCTTGTCTCCACCCCTCCTGTAGTTTCCTGCAGGCAGCCTGTTGTGGGTGGGACCTGCTGGGCCCCTTCCACAGCTCTGCTTTCTGCACAGGTTATGTACAGCACAGTGAAGTGCTGAGCAAACTGTTGGTGCTATATAGATCCTGTATTGTAGTAATAATAATAGTATCTGGGTTTACACACACTTACACACTTTTGGTTTTTGAAGACTATATTTAAATACATTTCCAGTGGCTGGAGTTCAGCTTTAGGAATTATTTGTTATATTGATTCAATAGGAACCTACCATATGGGTAGGAAACCCCAGCACTCAAGCTGCGGTGAAACTACAAATCCCACTATGCCTTTGGCAGACATGTCTGAGTCTTGCAATGCATCATGGGGCATGTAGTTCCGCAACAGCTGAGATTGCCTATCCCTGACCTACCACCTTTAAGAGAAATTTTGATAAGTGAATACATTAACTTTATAAATTGCAATCTTTGCTTATTTTCTTTATGCTTGCACAAGCTCCATTCTTTTAGTGGGAAATATTTCCATTTGAATTGTTAATATGGGAGAACTGTAGACACAGCAAGGTAGAGCTGTGAACTTTTATCTGAACTGGGCTGTAAGCAGACACAATCATTTAACTATCTTCACATTCCAAAAGCAAGAAGGAGCCACCTCTAACTAGGCATGATGGGCACTGTTTACTTAAGAAAGTATCTGATAAAAATGAAGACAGTTTATTGATCTCTGCTCATGTCTGTCATAGGTGTGTGCCTGCAGAATACAGAGAATGAGGGTTACCCGTCTCCGGTGGTCATTCTTCCTTTTATGAAACATGGAGATCTTCACAGTTTTCTGCTATACTCACGTCTGGGTGATGCCCCACTGGTAGGTACAGTATATGGTCTTACACCTCCCATTGGACATATTAGGCTCCATTCACAGGGGGCGATTTGGGATTCCTACAGCAAGAACCTACAGATTCTTGCAGCAGGAATGCCAGATGTCCTTGTTTAGATGCGTCCGATGTACCCGTTCAAGTTGATGAACATGTGACGGTGGACTCATCTGTAAGAAGCAGTTTGCATGTAATCATATATGATGCAAATACATTCCGCTTGGAATACGTCTCTGTCTCTGAACGCATCTATCCTGCATCTGTGAACAGTGATCTATTCTAAACCATAAGCAATTGTATCATATACTGCCGCTTACAGATGCGACCGCTACCACCCGGTTAACTTGAACGGGTACAGCGGCCGCATCTAAATGGTGACACCTGCTATTTCTGCCACAGGAATCTGTAGGTTCCTGCCACAGGACTGCTAGAGCACCCTATGTGAATGAAGCCTCAGGCTCTGTGTGCAGCCTAATTTGTAAGGGGTTCCACAAGGATCTAGGCAATCATTATTAAATAAGTGTTGCCTTAGTTACCTTAAAGCTGGCCATACACCTTTCAATTTCTTTCATTCAACCCAAGGGCTGAACTGAAGAAATTGACGCATTTCCTTCATCAACACAAACAGCGTGTCGACTGAGGAATCGCCTCTGTTTGCATTGTATTTTTACAGGTGCCACCTGTCAGAATACCCGATCAGAGCGGGCAGCTCATTAGCTGCCGGGTCTGATCGTACAAAGATTTTCCAGCCGGCTCCTTCGATCAGCTGATTGAGGAATGTCTGCTGAAAGGAAGCAGACAGCCCCATACACTGGCCGAATTTCGTCCAGTACATTAAAAACCATGTATGGCACCTTAACACTTAGTACAGTTGTTTTTTGGGTATGACCTTTTAATGAACAACAGGGCCTTTATCAAGTCATTTAGCTTGTATTTTTGTAATATATATATATGTGCAGTATATATATAGCGATGGTGCACTGCAACAAAATTACATCGGTAGATAAATAGGAAGAATAAGAAGTAGTAGAGGCACGTACAGGTCTTGAGCAAGAGTGTCCAAGCAGAAGTAATTTCTTCTGTCCAACATTTGGATGGATCACAGTCCACCTTTGTCAAGGCTTTGACAATGCCGCTACTATTGTGTGTGTATAAATATTTTACTGTATATAGTGTATCTATCTATAATGACACCATTTTAATTATTATTTACAGTTCCTTCCAACACAGACACTGGTGAAGTTCATGACGGATATAGCTAGCGGCATGGAGTACCTGAGCAGCAAGAACTTCATCCATAGAGACCTGGCGGCCAGAAACTGCATGTGAGGATCTGGAGGGAGGGGGATGTGTGTGTTCTAGGCCACCAGTGCTAGGCTGGGACTAAAAAAGTTTATTTAAATTTTATTGAAGTGCCTGAAATAAGAGCTCTCTTTGTTGTTGCCCAGAAACTTATCAGTGTCTTCCTTACACTCTTAAACTGATATGTTCCATTCTGAGTTTAAAGTAGTATTAAACGCTCAAAATCCATATCAAACAAATATACATTGCCCAGAGAAGTAATTTTTTACATTGTTGTCCAAGCACTTACAATTATTGTGTCCAAACAGCTGACTCTAACTCTCTCAGCTTTGTTTCCTTGAACCTCCTGTCCAGTACAAGATCACAAGAGACAGAGCAGTCTCCAGCAGCCGTACATCTACTAGTTTGGAGGAGGGAGGACTAGGAGGCAGGGGAATGGTTGCCTTGCTGTGTGTGTGTTGTAAAGTAGCCATCGCCCCAAGCTCGCTCCCGTGATGGACTGCAATCTCAATACAAATTAGTAAAGTAGTCCATCACGGGAGTGAGCTTGGAGCGGCAACTACATAGACTGCATTACCATGTTGAATGATTCAAACATCTGAACGTTAAATGTATACTTTAATATTACTGACCTCTAGCTTATCACATTGCTCATTACTCTTGTTGCCTCCACCTAGGTTGAATGAGAACATGAATGTCTGTGTGGCAGATTTCGGCCTGTCCAAAAAAATTTACAACGGAGATTATTACCGCCAAGGCCGGATTGCCAAAATGCCAGTCAAATGGATTGCCATAGAAAGTCTGGCAGACAGAGTCTACACCACCAAGAGTGACGTGGTGAGTACAAGAGCCTTTGGATGGACTAGCAGTGCAGTTCTTTACAATGTAATCGACCAGCTACGGCAGCCTATGGCTTTGGTCCTAATGATAGCCTTTTAGATTGTAAGCCCTCAGGGTCAGGGCCCTCCTTACCATCTTGTCTTGTCTTGTATTGTGATTGTAATGTCTTCCTTATATTGTAAAGCGCTGCGCAAACTGTTGGCGCTATATAAATCCTTTATAATAATAATAGCCTTTTTTTTTTTTTGCAGTGTATGAAAACCGCTGATGAAGGCCAAAAAGCCTGAAACAGCTGTATGCAGTGTGCAATAGATGGCTGCATAATATTATGCTATATGTCCCCCAGTGGTTATATGTGCACCAGTGGTTCTGTATGTGGATCTGGCTATTGGGGCATAAAAGAATAATTTGCATGGCTCTGTCAACTGAAATTAGGATGTATCCTCTTATTTTTGGGATATGCGGTGAAATGAGACATGCGAATGCCTTCTGTTAAAAAAAAGTCTTTACGGTGCTACATTTTGTTCAACCATAAAGACAACTACATATACAGTGATCTACCCGTAAGACTCTCCCCGTAAGACTGGGCCCATAAGCAGAGAAAGAAAATATTTTCAGGTCTCAGCAGGGCAGAGATATGTAAAATTTCTTCAGCCATGGTTTAGCAAGAAATCTGCCCATCTCTGGCTGACCTAAATATGTGATGATGTCATGAAGTCTGGAACTCTTCAACTTTAGTGGAAAAATAAACAAATATGGTTGCTGCAGCCAATCAGATAAACTTGTGCAATGTAAAATTGCTGCATTTATCAGTGAGATCATATGACTTCAGATTGCGCAGGATTTTTATCCTGTTATTTTATCTTGTTATTTTAACACCAGTACAGCGGGTCCTTATTTCCCTCAGGATTGTGTTCTAAAAATCACATGTACCCAATCTTTCAATATAAAGTTGTTTCTCAGTGAAAATGATGTAATGATATACCCTACTAGGTTCACGTTAATGGCAGCTTCACCAGTCCCTTACACTTACCTTCCCTTCGCTCCCGTGGCTCCATTTAGCAGCATCCCAGGGGAAAAATAGGAAGCATCTTGGGTTTAACACAGTGCGGTGGACTCTCTTTCTGCCCCCATTTGTCGGTATCAGATGCCTAAGCAGCCAATCATTAAACACCAATGATGTCAGGTGGGAGGAAACGAGGGAAGTGAGCCACATAAATGCTGTAACTAAAAGTGATAAGTATTTTTCTTCACTCCCAGCGGCTGAACAGAGCTATAGAGGAGAAAAGGAAAGGTGAATATCAGCAGTTGGTGGGGTCATCATTAATGTGAACCTGTATGAGCAAAGCATTGATCCACTTTAGGGCTCATTCACGTTGGTGTACAATACTCTACGTTCAGATCTATAATTGATATGCATCTGTACACAGCAGTGTTGTATTTTCTAGGTCCATGCACACTGGTCCATACTGGTGCGCAGTGTAAAGCTGCATAACCCAAAAATTGGAAAATCTGCATTTGAAAACCTGCATATGGAGTGTATTTGATGCTCTATGTGAATGTTTGTGCTAACCTTTACCTGCGCACAGTGTAAATTAACTTGAAGCTGTCTGTGTCATAGCAAAAAAGCATTCTAGGCAGCAGAAGCCACCTGCATTCTAGCAGCAATGAAGGATGCTGGGCTGAGCCAACTGCATCTTAGCAACTAAGGATACTGAGTGACAGGAACCACGTGCATCCTGGCAGTGAAGGATGCTAGGTGGCAGGAGCCAACTGCATCCTATGAACGAGGGTTCGCTAGGCATCAGACATTTATTGAACGTTATTATTACATATATTTACCATACATAGTTTTAGAATACTGTATTGTTGGTGATAGTGGTCTTTTACAGGGCTGGTCACAAAAGGGTGAAAGGTTTGGAGAAGGCAGGAGAAGTGAACCATCTAGGCCAAAATAACTGATTTGGAAAAATTCTCCAATTCAGCTCACTTTCCAGTTCGGCTATGTTGTCCTAGATTGTTCCCTTCTCCTGCCTTCTCTAAACTCTTCACCCTTTTAATAACTGTTAAACTTGTGTAATATGGGTACCCTCTGTTTAAAATGGCTGACCTGAATTTATTTTTTATTTTCAGTGGTCCTTTGGTGTCACCATGTGGGAAATTGCCACAAGAGGCCAAACTCCTTATCCTGGGGTGGAGAACAGTGAAATTTATGACTACTTGAGACAAGGAAACCGGCTGAAGCAACCTCCGGATTGCCTGGATGGATTGTAAGTGATGTATTACTGTGCTATTTGTCATTTTGAAATAACACCCTTAGGCTGATCAATATCTTGGTGGTGTTGAAAGCTTTCCATCAGCTTTCCATCAAAAATTGATCACCTGGAATTGAATGATCCCTGCTAATCATCTTGTGGCACTTGTGTATAATCACTACAGCATACAATTGTTATAAGTATTTATATATACTAAAACAAAGAGAATTCTTATCACTGTATTTTTTTAGATACATGGTCCCTAACAGTAATCCCTGAGACTTTATTAGGACTAATCCCATTGGTAGGGATAATGAATATGACATTAATGGGAATACAGCAATCCCTGTGGCATTCTGAAGATCTGTAATTTTGATATGGATAGCACAGCATTAAACATGTCCTTTTAATAATTCTTCATCTAGCTTTGTCTTAGATGAAGGTGATGACTCACTCATCTATACACTTATGTTGGAAATTCTATGGATTTTCCAGTTGATTTATTCCCACAATGTTTCAGTGTGAGATATTTCTATATGATTCTAAATACTGATAGCTGTGCCGTAATTGGTATCAGATGGGTCAGATCAGCAAGTGCCATCTGCAGTGGGTCAGAGCCAGCTGGTGACATTTTCCATTCCTGGTCTGAAAGTCATTAGACCGCATCCTGATCTTATGCTGGGAAGAAGCTGACAAGAGTTTGCCAACTTGAGTATTTGAAATCCTGGCCACATGTTTACCAGTGAGTGCGTATATTGATACAGTGGTTTTGTCCACAATAATGTTTGCTGTCATCACTTTCTAAATGTAATCCATAGTGACTCAGCCAAAGCCACAGTTTATAAAGCTTGTTGTGATTGGCAGTGGTCTGAACATGGTAGACTAATTGTACTTTGGAAAACCAACTTGTGGGTGCACCTGCTGAAACTGCAGATAGCCCAGTTAGCCCTCACTTTACTCCTTGGCTAGTTTAAGAATTAATTTTAGTGAGACTTTAAACTCTTCAAAATAGAAGATCCTTAAGGTTTTTCCTGCTGCCTGCATCCCTGTTGGAGAGGTTCTCCTTTAGATTTTCTGGGACAGAAAACAAAGGGAAATTTAAAAGTTGACAGCTGTCACCAAAGATAAGAGGGAAATCTCTGACTGGCGAACCCTGTTCCATTGACAACTATCAAAGGTGGGGTTTCCCTTCTCTTTAGGAAGATTTCCTCTCGCTTCCAATCATGCCTTGTAAGGGGGCAGTCTCCCAAATGTGGACATAGACATCAGTAGAAACCTGAAAGGTTTTACCTTTTCCCATGGCTTCTTATATGTCTTGGAGACACCAGTGGTAATATCTTCTATCATGGCTCTTGGCTTTGTTCCAGCCCACCTGTGACTTGTAAGTGTTAATATCCACTAGGGGTGTTAACAGGTGTTAATGTTCTGTACCTGTGTTAACAGTACAGAACATTACCCCTTCTGTTATATTTTTCATGATAATATAATACCAATCCAACCAGGAAACCCATTGCTAAGGTCACATCAGGTATGCAGACCGAGGAACTCAAGCAAAGGTATCTCACAAATAGAGTCTCCAAAAAGTAGTCATTCAGCTCTCCCACATCCAGCAAGCTTTAGTTTTAGGTAGACTTTCCCTATTTAAGACACCAATCAGAATGTTGCATCAATCTGTTTTTTGTTTCTGTTGCTCACTTACTACTGCTATGTAAATATTATGTACCAACTAGTCAAACTGTACCCAATGTGATCTGTAATGGGTTTTTTTCCAGGTATGAATTAATGTCCAGTTGTTGGCAGCTGAATTCTAAAGAACGCCCAGCATTTGAAACTCTCCACAGGGAACTGGAGACAATTCTTAAGAATTTACCCCCAGCCAAAGATCCTGATGAAATTTTATATGTCAACATGGAAAAGTCTCATTCTTCTTCCTTCACCGATGATGGTGAACTTGGAGCCGTGGGTGGTCTGGATACAAAGGATTTCGGAGATGACATTTTCTCAAAGCCTAGTTCAGTCACTGCAGAGATTCACCAGCCTGAGAACACCAACCGGTATGTTATGTGCCCAGGACATGAAGCCACACGCTTGCTCACAACAATGGATCATCCACGCTACAGTTCAACTGTGGAAGAAGGGACATTGGAAGAGTTGTTGGCTGGCCAAGGGTTCAGATAATAAACTGTAACCTGGCAAAACCTATTTTAACAAGACTTGGAATACTGGCGTTATGTTTCTAACATCATTTTCATGGAGTTTTAGCCTTGTTGTAGAGTACTTACTTTTTTACCAGATATCCTCATTCCACAGAGGCATTACGTAGCAAAACGTCTCACTGGTCTTCCTACTATAGTCTCTTTGTGCAATCATCATTGTTGAAAAAGGAAATATATACCTGTCTTTTGCAGACAGAGACGTGTGACCAAAGACCAAGTGGGACGACTGAGAAGCCATGATGGTGCTGTCATGACAACTCTTTATAACCTTATGGTACAAAGAGCCATGTAAGGGAATATGTATTAATGCTCAAATGATCGAGACACTCAAGCATTCCTATAACTTAGTGTGTTTTACAATTCCTGAAACAGAACAGGTACAGAACATTACACGCTCCAGCGCACAAAGATGAACTGAATATCTTCTCAATGGAGCTTCCAACTTGGTGATCCAGATGGTTGTACCAATTCAAAGTTGGCAGTGATTTTGTTTTTGTTACGAAGCACTTCCTTATTGTACTTTTAGTTTTGTATAGTCCAGTATCCACTGATTTGTTTTAAACTGTTTCAGGGTGTAATTCTGTTTCAGAATTGGTTGAAAGGCCCTTTGTTCCACTATTAATTACAGTGACTTATTTGAGAGAAATATGGCTCTTTCTGATATTTCGAAAAACTGTTTGCCTAGTTACCCATGTCTGCTTATAGAGGTTTTCCACTTTCACCAACTCAAAACTACAAAGGCTGAACAACGGATATTGAAAATTTTAGTTTCCTTATACATTTAGAGGTCCTTTCACTTTGTGTGCCTGATAAATATGGCAGTCGGGGGGTAATTCCTGTGGACAGTTTAAACCTGTGGCCATCAGAAAATACCCAGACCAATTTCTGACACGCGGAAACTCTTTTGGGAGAAGGAGTCGCGGCTTATTCATATGTAAATATCGTCACCCATTCATATGTAAATATGACAGTCAAGACTATTTTTAGTGGGGGCCAGTAGCCCCTATCTTAATTTTGGTTGCCCCTGTCTGCCTGATATCTTGTGTCCGGGTTTCTGCTGCCATGAAACCCGAACACAACATTCAAAACCCGGATTGTCCGGGTGAATCCTGGACAGGTGGCAACCCTAGTTCACACTTACCATGCATGTGTACAAGTGCAAAATGGTATGATTGCGGTGTAATTGCTTGTTAATGGCACCCCAAATGAGGCTGGGAAAAAGCGTGTCTTTCCTACGCATTTTCGCGCAAAAACGCGTGGTCAAGAAACATGTGAAGCTCACAACTCAAATTGCTGCATGAGCTTCTATGTCGTGTTTATCGGGCGTGGGGCAGCTCATTGGCATGCAAAACGGGCAGAAATGCGTACAAACGGGAAGCGCAGTCACATGCGCCACAAGTGTGAACAGGGGCTTAGAGAAATAGTAGGAATTACAGAGTTGAAGGGATTACCTTCACTTCCCTAGATGACATCTATGAACACAATAATAATCAGTATTATGATCACAATCTACGCTGAGAATAAAATTGCACTTTTTTTTCATTTGTTCACATTCTACCACGGCAATAATCTAATGCAATCAGGGAGTGATATTACAAAAGGGATCTAATTTTATATTGCTTCTACTTCAGAGTCACTGTTAATGGAACAGATTTAATCTATTTTCTCTCTCTGTCTTACACCCTGTAGCAGGGGGGGTAGACCCCATGGGGTTGATTCACTAAAGGCTAATAGACTATTTACTTTGCAAGTGAATTTTCACTTTGCAGGGTATTTTTCCCTTAGCTTACTGAAACTCTACTGACTTCCATCATCCAATCATGTGCAAGCAAAATTATTTATTTTTTTTCATTTACTTGCTCATGATTGGATAATGTTGGCATGGTGAATTTTTACCACATTCGCTAAGCTAAGAGCAAATTCGCATTCAAAGTCAAAATTCTCTTGCAAAGTGAACAGCCTTTTTGCCATTAGTAAATCAATTGTCATAACTCCCCCGTTGCCACCCTACATTGTGACGGGCAGACTCCATTTTTCATAATTCTTGTCTATGTCACCTTGCAGAAGAAGGCAGAGATTACCTTTCTCCATCAATATTGTCTTGGTTTGAGAGAAACTGTTTTTCTTTTAAATGCTTGTATTCTGTTTCCACATTTTTTAAGTAGAGTTGCAAAAGTGAAACTAGCTAAATGACACTGCCATATACCCGTAATGCCTTTGACCTTCAGTGTTTATTTTTGTATTTATCCTTACAGCAGGCATTATAAAGTTTACAACAGTTGTGTGCCACCTGCAGGCTTTCAGCTGTGGGAGGACCCTTAAGTTCTATAAACTCATTGCCAGCCTGTGGCTACGCACTCTGGGCGCATTCCAGTGCCTCAATAGCTGAGTAGTCACAGGTTGCCCAAATTGCCAGAGCATCAACTAAGTTATTAATGAGGTTGATTTATCACACCTAGAACAAAGTGTGTATCCCACATCAACTAAAATACCTCCTTATAGATAAACATACATACAAATCAGCCCTTGATGCACTCAAGCCCTATTCAGCTGCACTAAAATATATCTATATTAATTTAAAAAAAGACTATGCCTTGTTCAATGGCTTCACCTCTTTTACTGTCCACAAATTTTAAACAGTTTGGAGTAGGGATGTTGAGATACCAAGTACCGTACTTGGTGCAAGTACAAGTATAGATACTTTTCTTGCTCCAAGACTAGACTAGAAAAAAACTCAAATGTTAGGAGGCAGCTGTCATTTTTAATGAGCATACAGGGCTCCTGGGATTTGTGCATCTCCCTGTTTTAATGTATGATTTGTTATATATAACCAGCAAGTACTGATACTTTTTGGTTTATTACCATATGACAGTGCCTTAAAGACAATACAGACTAATGATTTCAGGACAGCGGTGGAGAGTCACAGCCAGGTACCAGCTGCAACCCTGGTAGTACCCTGGTAGTTCTGGTATCGGCACTGGTATCTAAACTGGTATTTAAACATCTGTAGTTTGGAGGCATGGCTACAAAGTCTGTGTGTCCTCCTGCAGTGTTCATCATAAAATGGGAGAGGTGATGTCCTCTTGGTGCTGTATAGGGAAAAGCATTATGTCTGACATAATGGACTGTTAGCAAGTTCACTTTACCATTCAGATTTCCACTAACTAATGTCAGTGTCATTATTTTACTTTGAAATGGCCATGGCATAGAGACAAACAAGGAATCCTGATGAGGTTTATCTGCGACAGAGTCCTTTAAAGATAAAAGATGCCAGCCAGCATGAGATTGAACTGGCCAACAGCTATGGAACCATATACTGCTTGAATTTTGGCCGAGTCCTCCTGTCGTTGACAGTGTGTAGCCCCCTCGGGAACCCATTTGACAAAAGCCAATTTTTCAATCTACATTTGTTGAAGGAGTTGGTTAAAAAAAATGTTGGTCAAACATTGACTGCAGTGAATCAGCTGTAGTCATTGTTCAGCTATTCTGACAGCACCACAGCAGTGTCTGTCAGAATACAATACACTTCCCCCATTCACGCTGTTAGCATGGATGAGGTAATCGAGAGTGTAGACTAGCAGTGTATGGCCAGGACCTTGTATAGCATTGAAGTAAGGGACAAGTGTAGGCCCAACCATGTTCTTAGCTTCAGCTTCTAACCTGCTCTAGAAAAATGGTATCTAAAATCTATTGTTCTTAATGAAGAAAACCTCAATCTTCCATATTTCCAGTGATTACACCAGGCAGTAATTAGTCCTGCAATTTTGCAGTTCACTAGTAAGCTGATTAGATGCAGTCTAATACTTCATTTCCAGTTGTCAAAATGCACATGTATTCACAATGCAACACTTTTAAAAGCCTTTCCACCCAAAATTGATATTTAAAAGAGAACTACGGGGTAACCTTGTTATCCCACAGTTCTCTTTAGGGTCGCAGGAGGGCATATACTAACCTCCTCCCGTGACCCAAAGCTCAGTATATATACTGAGAGCGACGTAGCCGGGACAGAGCTCGAAAATACTGTCAAGATCCACCCAGCTGGCCGACAGCGGGCTCTGCCTATCTAGAGGCAGAGCCAGCTGTGCCCGCCCCCTCCCCGTCCGTTTCTCAAGTCAGCACTGGAGGATCGGAGAGGGGAGGGGGAGAATCCCTGCGGGGAGTGGTCAAAGCCACTGCGCTCTGCAGGGAGATGATGAGGAAGTGAGCTAGAGACAGCATGTGTCTGCTAACTTCCCGGTCTATAGAGTCGACATGTGACAGTTTCATTGTCACACGTCGGCTCTAACTATGGGGATGAATGTAAATCACTCACCTCATAGTTCTCCTTTCAATTATTGATGGACTTTGTCGGGCTGAATCACTGACTTGCTGTCTTATGCTTCTTGGGAACTCTTTCGTAAAGTGACGTTTCCTGCTGCATTATCCATAAGAATAAAAAAAGCCAATGAAATATAACTATCTTAATGGGTGCAGTAGAGTCTCTCGTGGTGTCCACAGCACATTCACAAAGCTGGGAATTTATGTACAGAGATTTTATCACTGGTATCCACAAATATAAAAACCATTAGGTGTCAGCCCACCAGCATCCACTAAATAAATACTCCATGACCACTTCTGGGTGGACTGAATGCCTAAATAATTAATGGCATGAGTGCAATTTAATTAACTCTTACCACACAATAATAAAAATATATGTGTGCAGAGAAATCTCTTTGGGACAAAGTGACATACGTTACAGATATAATTATTCGGAAGTAGAACAATTTGTTACATTTTTTACAACCAGTTTTGTTATAATGTACTGTATATACCTATTTTTTGTATATGAAACAAAATATATATTTCTTTACACTTTCTTGATAGAAAAGCTTAAACCGTCAAATAAATGCTTATTTTTCATCAGCTCGTGTTAGTCTTGGTATTTATTAAAGGACACTATGGAGAAAATAATGTAGTCTGGTAACTCTTTGGGGTTAATACCCATAATGGCATTCAATATATGAAGTAATCCAGCTGAGACCTCATATATTAGGTAATATGGGGTTGTGGTTTTTAAACAGTTTTTGCGCACTCTGTTTCTAAACATTTTCTAAATTTTTAAGACAATGCAGTGTGTACTGTGAAAAAAAAAGCTTACAAACTATACTATTAACCTCCCTGGTGGTATGATTTTTTCTTTTTTTCGTGTCATTTTTCGTTCTATTTTTTCTTCAAATTTTTTACGTTTTTGTTGTTTTTTTAATATCTTGCCTGTTCCGCCCCCTTGCGACGCGTACGCTCGCAAGGGATGGAACACGAAAGATGGATCCCGGAGAACACAGTGCGGCTCGAGGGACAAGGTAAGTAAATGCTATGCGGCATTCCCGATTGTAGCTCAGGGTTACCGCGTATGGTATGGAAAAGTAACCCCAAGCTACACTCGGGAATACCGCCAGGGAGTTTAAACTGTTGTGCCACTGGCTTACATGTAGCACCCTACTGGAAAAAGTGCTATTAAATTTAGTAATTATCAGATTGTATGCAGTCTGA